TTCATCTGGGACATGCTGTTGAAGTAGATGAGGTAGCAGAAGCCGAGAGACGAGAGGTCGAGCCACGGGTGCTGCTTCTCGTACGCATTCTGGATGGTGATGCAGATGTCCATGTCGTAGGCCGTCCACGCGCCGCCGTCGTTTTCCCACTCCCACACGATGCCCTTGCCCGGTGCTGACGACGGGTCGTAGAAGTTGCGTCGCACTGGCCGCATGGTGCCTGCGCTCAGAAGGGAGAAGGGTTGTCAGCACAGGTCCCCATGGGGACCTTCAGGGCCAGGAAGGGGATCCGCGCAGACAGGAGGGAAGACATGGGGGCAGCACCAATGAGATGGCTCAGCAGGTAAAGGTGCTTGTCACCAAGCCTGACAATATGATTTCAATCCAATCCCATGGCGGAAGGAGAGAATCGGCTCCTTCAGGCTGTGTTCTGTCTTCCAATAAACTAATAAAAGCAATGAAAGAAGCAGGCAGAAGCCCAGGCAACTTATGGGGTCACAGGGACATGAAAGGGTCACAGAGAGTCAACGAGGAAAAGGAGCAAGAGGTGGGCCCTGGAAAGCCAGCCACCCTCTGCAGGGTCAAGGCAGGTCCTGAAGGGCCTGGTTATCCCAGGACAGAGAGAACATTAAAGGTGGGTAGTGACCAGACAGAGAGCAAGGCCCATCTGCCCACCGAGCTCCCTCCTGGACTCCTAGGGTGCTGGCAACCAGAGCATTTGTGGGTTTCTGCATTCACACAGTTTGTTGGATTCCACATCGGTTCATTCGTTCCACCACATTCACTCACCCCTCACTTCATTCATTAATTCACTCATCCCTCACTTCATTCATTAGTTCACTCACCCCTCACTTCATTCATTAATTCACTCATCCCTCACTTCATTCATTAGTTCACTCACCCCTCACTTCATTCATTAATTCACTCATCCCTCACTTCATTCATTAGTTCACTCACCCCTCACTTCATTCATTAATTCACTCATCCCTCACTTCATTAATTCACTCATCCCTCACTTCACTCATTCAGCCATGCCTTCTTGTATTCAGTCACACCTGCATGTACCCTTTTTCCTCCCCTCCCCTCTCCTCCCCTGGCTTCTCTCTCTCTCTCTCTCTCTCTCTCTCTCTCTCTCTCTCTTTCCCTCTCTCTCTCCCTCTGTCTGTCTCTTTCTGTTCCAGCCCTGAGTATATGTTGTGAGAGTGGAGAGTGCTTTCCGACCACACATAGACAAACACAGACACGTCAGCTCTGTGGTCTCTCTCTCTCTCTCTCTCTCTCTCTCTCTCTCACACACACACACACGTCAACTCTGTGGTATCCTGGCCTGCAGTTCACCAGTGCTGTGTCCCCACCCCACTTCACTGGCTGAAGCTCTATCTTCTGCCTGAGAGCCACTCTCTGGAGGAAACTTAGGGAACCAGTGATTGACAGCACAGGCCTCAGGGCCTTAGCTGACTTCAGGTTGCCTGGCCCAGGTGCCACAGCACAGAAATGACTCTCCCAGGCTTGCAAGGCCACACCTGTGGAAAGGCTGCCACCTGCTGCAAAGCTGTGGGAAGTCCCCCATGCCTCCCCAGGCCTCTGTTAATACAGATCGACTCAACAGGGTCTGACATTCATGACTTAGAAGCCAAACCTCTGGGAATGTCTGGGAGGGAGTTTCTGGACTGGGTTGGTTGAGATGGCACCATCCCTGTGGGCTGGGATCCTGGGTTGCATAAAAAGGAGGAAGTGAGCTGAGCAATGGCATTGGTCTCTCTCTGCTTCCTGGCTGTGGATGCCACGTGACCAGCCACCTCAGGCTCCTGCCGTGACTGACTGTACCCCCGAACTGTGAGTCAAAATAAGCCCTGCTTTTGGCAGGCATTTTGTCATGGCAATGAGACAGAGAATTAATATGCTGACCTCATCTCTAGAGTGACAGGGAGCTCCCTTGCCCACTGTGTCCATGCCTGCTGGGAGGATTTGAGAGTAGCCTGTAGATAAGCCCCAGGGATTTGGAGCAGACAGCCCTCATCTCAAGTTGCCAGGTCGAGACTATCCAGTCCTGTAACCACATTCAGATGACTTCTCTGTCAGCCTTGGTTTCTCATCAGGGAAATGGGCCAGGTGGGCAGAGATGCTGAGGCTACGGGCGGGAGGATCTGCCTCCAGTTTGATGCCATTAGCTCCACCCTCTCTCCTGCGAGCCCCATAGCCATCAAGCAGCCTCTGTGACAGTCTGTTGCCTGATTCCCTGCTGCTCTAAGCCACTGTGCCTCTGAGCTTGACTCACAGCAGTAGACTCATGCCCTTGTCCCCACCTGGCAGCCAGGGCAACCAGTCCAGCCTACATCACATTCATCCTCATAGAGCTCAGAGTCCTCTATGGCTTCTAATGACCTGTAAAAGCTGAAATCCTCATGACAACCCAGCTCTGATGTCCTCTCTGATGATTTCCCCCTCAACTGGTCTCCCTGCTGCAACCTAACCACCCCAAGCCCTGTGTGGCCTCAGGGCCTTTGCAATGGCTGTTTTCTCTGCCTGGATTTTGACTTGGCCACCCTTAGACTTCTTTAATCTGGGTCTGTTTGAATGTCACTGATTAGAATGTCGCCCCCCCCAACTTGGCTTCTGAGTAATTTATTCTATTGCTGCCTCGCTGTTCCCCACTTCCTGGTAGCTGCTCATTCTGGTCATGACAGACTCTTTCCTGCCCCCACTCATCAGCTCAGGCCCACAGGGGGCCTCTCTGCTAAACCCTCCAGCTCCCCCACCCCCACTCTGGGCAGGGTGATTTACACAGTAGGTCCTCACAGCATGAGATGGGGGCACCGAGTGTGGTGTCCTGCTGGGAGGTTACCTTCTGACCACAGACCCTGTCGGACTGTCCCTCACTGTATTGCCACTCAGGCCTCAAAGACCTAGAGCTCTGCCTTGCCTTTTAGAGTGTCCAAGGCTGCCCAACAGCACAGGTCCTGAGGGCTGGGGAAACTAAGGCACAGGACTGTATCTGTTGATAGGAGAGGGGCAGGGTGCCAAGAAATAAGGTTCCCTCGTAGCAGTAATGTCCCAGCAACCACAGGAAGACTCCCCAGGGCCCGATGCCTGTTTGTTTTAATGGAATGCATATTGATTTTCTGTGGTTTTCACTGTGCCGGGAGTAAGCCTTCCCTCCTTGTCCCCTTGCTTCTTCATGCTAGACTTGCCCTTCCAGTACCTCAGTTTCCCCATCTGCAGAACGAGGGCCTGTGAGAGAGATGAACCTTAAGGGCTATGATCAGTTTTGTGGTGAAGTGAGGGGCTCTGTCCCTTGGATGGGACAGGAGCAAATAGGGAATTGTCCCCGTGAGCCTCATCTGTTGCCCAGGTCCTGAGCCAAGCCAAATGTATGAGAAAAATGAGGAACGAAACCATCAGTAGACTGTAAAGCCTGGTGGTGTTCTTATATGTAAAATGGGGGTATCAACACCTACCCCAAGAACTTCTGGGGGACAAAATAAAAGAAGGCGTGACAGGTGCTTAGCGGATGACTTAGCATAGAGAAGCCCCCCAAGAGTGTTGGCTGTGACGGCTGCCATCACACACTTGATCCACTTCCAGCATCCCCATCTGATGAACTCCTAATCATACCACAGAGCTCCTCATACCCAGCCCCTCCAGCAAGGCCTTAGTTCTGTTGCTGAAGCTGGCACATGTGGCTGTTGTACTGTCATTGAATCATTTCTGCTTTTGTCTCCTGACCTGGCTGATAACTTCTGGGGTGACAAAGGCCAGATCAGAGCCACAGTGTTCCCAAAACGTGGCCAGAAGGAAGGCAGATGCAGCTGAAACCGAGGCCTGTGGAGCAGAGGGGGAGGGGAGGGGCCAGGCTTGGCAGAAAGGAGGGGAGGTGGACCTAGGGCTGTGGGGAGAGGGCGGTGGAGATTGCCTGGGCCACTCTGCCGCAAAGGATTCTGGGAGCTGCGGGCCAGCCCGCATCTGCTCCCCGGGCTCTGTTTACCAGGCATGGATTTTCTTGCCTGTTTAGTGGTAGTTACTAAAGGCAGTGTCCCTGGAGTCCTTTTGAGAAAGGATCGGAGCCTGGAGAGCTGGAGTAATTAGGGCGGCTGAGCCCGCCGCACCAGACCCTGCACTGCTGCGAGCGCTGCTGCTGTCCATGCACCCACCCCTGCAGCCCAGGCTGGTCATGAACCAGGGGGACGTGGGGAGGGGAGGCAGCTGGCACCCAGTGTCTGCTTGGACTTGGATCCTGAGATTTTCTAGCTGTGCCGGCCTCCTCCATGGTGGCCTTGGCCTAGATTTGTGGACAGAACAATGAGCTGCAGACTTGGACACTCAGTGTGCCAGTGCCTGAGCCTGGGAGATGGGATCAGGCTTCTCAAGCTCCAGACTGGCCACCCAGAGTGGGATCCCAGGGCAATCAGCCCCTGTGCAGAGGACTGTCCTGGGCCTGGTGGTGTGTGTCTGCTCCTTCCTCCTTCTCTGACCAGTAAGAATGGATAATTGAAAGATTGCCTGAACTGGTGAGGGGTTGGGGGCCAGTGTCTGCTGGAGGTTGCAGGGAGATGATAGACAAGGGAGAGAGCATGGGTGACAGACAGACAGACAAACAGACACACACACACACACACACACACACAC